AAAAAAAAAAAAAAAAAAAAAAAAAAAAAAAAAAAAAAAATCAATCCCAACTCAAATATAGTTCAAGTTTAACTCAAATCTACCCTCCACAATATTAATAATATAATAATATAAATAAATCATCTTTACACAATCTCATCAACTTTAATTCATTATTCATCTACTACTTAATTTTAACTACCCATTATTTTCAATCATCTCTCTCATTTTTTTACACTAAAACAATATTAATTATTTTATTATAAGTATGAATTTAATACAATTTCAAAATTCCACTAAAACCTAATGAAACCATTTTTCTTAAATTAATCTGGGTACCTAAAAAAATCAATTAAAATTCAATATATCTATATCCAAGCAAGCCCTCCCGTACATTTTATTTAACATCTATGCATTATTTCATAAAAATATATAAAAATTTCAATAATGATATAAATAAAAATATAATATTTAATAATATAAATTATGTAGAGAAATTTATGGGCTCGAGAACCCAACACCTAAAGTTTGTGTACTGGTGAAAAGTTCGTCCATCAACAGTCCATAAGAGTTCACACTTAATACCCAGGCCCACTCGACCCATTTACTTCGATTCGTTGCATTCGTTTTTTGTTGCGTTTTTCCTTTATCCTCTATATTTTTTTTTTTATTTTTTTTTTTATTTTTTTTTTTGAGATTAATCTAATAATCTGTCGTCTGCTCCAAATATTTCTTCCCCCTTTTATCTCTCTCCTCTGTGCCACCTTATTTCAAATTGATCCAACAGACTCAAACCTTACAATCCGTGTCCACTAAAAAGCATGAGCACGACCCGAGACAATTCGGGCAAGAACCCGTTAAAGGCCGCGAAAATTGTCCCGAAGGAGAAATCCGGCGACGCCCTGACGACGTCGTTGAGGGCTTCACTCGCCATCATCCTCATCTTCTCGATTTCCCTCGCCGTCTACTCCACTCTACACACCACCATCCGACCCGCCTTCTTCGGCTGGACCCAACTCCCCGACCCGGCCGTCTACATGGCCCGACTCAACTCCGACCAATCCCCCACCAACATCTCCCACTTGGCCTTCGGCATCGGTGGGTCGACTCGCACATGGGAAACCCGGCGCCGCTACTCAGATCTCTGGTGGAGGCCAAACGTCACTCGAGGCTTCGTCTTCCTCGAGCGGAAGCCCGATTCAAAAATCCCGTTCGCGATCCCCCACCGCGTCTCGTCCGACTGGCGGAGGTTCAGGCGCTCGGCCGGGTCGGAATCGGCGGTGAGGATCGCCCGGGTTGTGGTGGATCTGTTCCTGGTCGGGCTGCCGAACGTGAGGTGGTTCGTGATGGGGGACGACGACACGGTGTTCTTCCCGGACAATTTGGTGGCGGTGCTCGGGAGGTACGACCACCGGAGGATGGTATATGTCGGCGGGAACTCGGAGAGCGTGGAGCAGGACCTGATGCATGCGTACGGCATGGCGTTCGGCGGCGGCGGGTTCGCGATCAGCTACCCGTTGGCGGCGCAGCTGGTCGGAAAGATGGACGGCTGCCTGAATCGGTACCATTATTTCTACGGCTCAGATCAGAGGGTGTGGGCTTGTGTAGGGGAACTCGGTGTGGAGCTGAGTAGAGAATCCGGGTTCCACCAGGTACGCATTTGTTTTTTTTTTTTCGCCCCACTATTTTTCATTTTTATTTTATTTATGTTTCCATTTTTTTCTAATATTCGTTGATGTGATTACGTTAAATTTGTCGGCAAAAATGTATTTAGGTCATGGATAAATGAGACATATATTTTTCCTCACTTAATATTTTTAATTTGGTACATTTTTGTTTTATATTTAATAATAAACGTAAATAAATACTATGGTCTCGCAGTATATATTTTTGTAGTATATATTTTTACTGAATGAAATATGATTTATCATAATTGCATTTTGCTAAATTATAATAAGCAGGGAATTCAAACCGTTACTATGGTCTCGCAGTCAAACTCGTAATGGATTAGGCATTTAAACTCTTACTTAGTTTTTTTTTTTTAAATTCAAACTCAATACCGTACAACTCTACAATTATCCATAATAATTACTCCTTCACAATCATTTGTAATTCTTGAATTTGAATATTAATTTTGTTTTGTTTTGGACGAAATTATAATTTATATTTATTATAATTAAAATTTATATTAAATTAATTTTAATTATTGCATTTTTTCCAGTATCCATATAGAATGTCAATTAAATAATAATTTTTCCCAAAATAACGGACCATAATGTTTATCTTATTTTCAGTCACAGCAGGTTAGATTAAAATGATGGATCATAATAAGCTGGTCAAAATGCGGATGACTTCCACTAACAACCTTTTTGAATCCCATGTAGACTCGAAAACTTGGTTCATTACTATTGGCCGCATTTTTTTTTTTTTTTCATCCTTTTTGATTGATTGCTGTATAGGGCGACGCGTGTCTTCTCTTTAAACGTGGTGTCATATCACATGGCCGTGACACGTAGCCATATATGTGCTCATAACACGTTAGTAGTAAACTACGCTGGGGTCTGCTTTTACGGCCGTATAGTCTGTAATATTTAATTCTCTTGTCCGTTTGCCTCTCCTTTTGTCCTTCATGATTAAGTAGTTTTGTATTGCAATTCAAATGAAATTTTGTTATGTTAGTCGTAATATTTTTGTTAGAATGTTATTTGTGAGTTGTCCTACATTGATTCTATACGAAAAATGAACTTAGTTTATAAATTTAGTAGGCTACTTCACTCATCACCAATTGATTTTGGGATGAAACCTCACTAAGGTGCATCTAGACTCGCCCTCTTATGGTGCGCTTCACTTTGTGGGATCGCACTCTCTTCCTCCATTCTAATATGGTAACAGAACTGGCTTGTCCTAGGACCTGCAATAACACTCTCTACCCAGCCTGCTCTGTGGGCTTGCGCTTACGAAGGACTCACAAGTGATGGGCGTGTTAGAATATCATTTGTGAGTTGTCCCACATTGATTCTATAAGGAAAATAAACCCAGTATATAAGCTGGACAGGACTTGCAATGACTCTCTCTACTCGGTCTGCTCTGGGCTTGAGCTTATCTCTCTACTCAGCCTGCTCTGCGGGGTTGGGCTTACGAAGAACTCACAAATGAGAGAGCGTGTTGGAATATTACTTGTGAGTTGTCCCACATTATTTCTGTAGGGAAAATGAGTCTGGTATATAAGCATAGTGGGCTACTTCTCTCATCACCGATTGGTTTTGGCATGTAATCTCAGTATGGTGCATTTAAGCTCACTTTCTTATGGTGCGCTTCACTTGGTGGGACCGCATTTTCTTCCCCATTCTAATAAGTTTCAATTACAAGTTAAATAATTTGTTTTTTTGTACCAAAAAAAATAAAATAAAATATTACAAGTTAAATAATAACTATGTTTTATTTTATAAATTTTACCTTTAAATAAATGATATAAATATAAATTTGAGCTTAGCATACGTGTAATTTTTTTGCTGATCAAATTGTCATTTTCTTTTTTTTTTTATTTTTTTTTTTCTGAAAAAAATTATTTGGACTTTACTCACAGATATGACTTTCTTGAGGTTCCATGAGAGGTCTGTTTGAAAACCTAAAGTGCAGCAACTTCAAAGAAATGAAAGAAACAGCATATTCTGACTTTCTGTGTTCTATTCCTCCACTCATCACTTCTTGATAGTGGTTTTACCACTTTATTCCTTATTGCTTTTGTGGTAGCTTAAATATTATGAGCACTTAGCAGTCCTTATGTTCAGTTGTTCATTCATGTGCCATCAGAGCTATACCATTAAAAACTTAATAGAGGTCCTTGCATATACAAATAAAATAAAATACTGCACAATATTTTTTTATTCTCCAAAATTACCAATTTGTTAAGCTGGAATAACACATGTTGTGAGATCAACTTTGGTTGAAATCTTTTTCTTTTTGTGTGTCTATGGAATAAAAGAGAATCTCTCACTTTCTTTACTCTTGTGGAACTGAACTATGTAAAAATGAAACTCACATTCGACATAATATACAAACCAAATGCTCTGTTATGACATTTTACGATTCTTTCAGATAGACATCAGAGGCAACCCTTTCGGGCTCCTAGCCGCTCACCCATTGGCTCCATTGGTTTCCCTTCACCACTTAGACTACGTCGAGCCACTGTTCCCAAACCGGACTCAGCTGGACTCGGTGAAAGCACTAATGAAGGCCCACATGCTTGACCCGTCCAGGACCCTGCAGCAGTGCTTCTGCTACCACCGCAAGAACAAGTGGTCGATATCCATCTCGTGGGGCTATGCAGTGCAGATATACCCAGAAAAGCTCACGGCCAAGGAGCTCCAGACCCCATTGCTGACTTTCCGCACTTGGAGGACCTGGCAAGATGGCCCGTTCACGTTCAACACCCGCCCTATGAATTCCGATCACTGTAGGAACCCGATTGTCTTGTATTTGGACTTGTCCGGGGAAGGGCTTGTTAATGATACAGTGACGGCTTACAGTAAGTCCGTGGAGGAGACCACACGGGATTGCGGCAAGCACTATTCCCGTGCTGTGGCTGTTGAGAATGTGGTGGTTTTGGCGCCCAAAATGGATCCTCGCGAGTGGAATCAGGTTCGTCTCTTTTCGAAGTGTTTTTTTTTTAGATTGATAATAATCAGTGTTTTGATTAAGTCTTAGTGAGTCTTTATACGGTATTTTGGTGAAAACGATGTTCGTGAGGTAGAGAATGATATGCATGAATATTGTTTAGTGGCTAAGCAAAAGTTTAGTGGACTAAATGACCCACATTAACTAGTTGAAATCACATCATGATACTTTTACGTTAGTTTCTTTCTCTTTTTCTTGTGTCTTATCTTTTTAATGGTGGTCTTGGCCCTGTTGCCACCTCTGCTGGTGCTCCATTTCATTTGCACTTGGGAAAATTTTCGAGACAAGGAAAACGCGATACGCACTATGCGTCTCTCTGCCTAAAAGAAGACATAAACCTTTTGACTGCAATTTTGTTATTTACTTTTGTCGAATTGGACAATTTTAATTGTCTCGTTGATGGATTCAATTAAGACTGCCTTCCAATAAATTTAGATTCTATTACATGTTTTATTTCTTACACATGTATGTATCTGTATATGTAGCTGATATATATGATTTTATACTTTAGATTGCATTTAGCAAAATTTGGTAATTGTGATCTAACCTTCCAGCGGTAAACATACAGGGGCCGCGTAGACAGTGTTGTGAGATCAAGGGTGTACGACATGGGACGATGAGAATTCAAATTCGAAAGTGTAGGGACTCGGAAACTGTAACCATATGATGAATTTCGCCTTATCTTTTTTCGAATTACACCGCGTCTTGTCTTGTACATAATCGAGTTATAAAATGTTAGTTATTTTGCAGAACGTTGAGAAAAAACCATTGTGATCGTGCTCAGAGAACTAGGAGATGTGCCTGTGTTTTATACTGGCGTTTTTTCTTTTATTTTTATTTTTTTGCTTGCAATGACTAGTTACTCATTATATAGTACGACACAGCCCAGTGTATGTATTTCCGGCCGTCTAAGCCAGCGTGATCAGCCAAGTGTAGGGCCCGGGCAATGCCTGTCCAGCATTTGATAGGGGCGAGTTTGTGTTGTTTACTTGTGAGTTGTCTCACATCGTTTATATAGAGAAAATAGACCTAATGGGCTACTACTTCAAAAAATTGATTTTTGGATGAAATCTCACTTGGACTTCATCTGGGCTTTTTTTGCTTATGGTGCGCTTCATTTGTGTGGTAACGCTCGTTTTTCCCGTTTACCCAGCCTGTTTGTAGTAGGGCTTGGGCACCCGGCTCTGTATATGGACTTGAGCTTCTTATGAAAGACTCATAAGTGATGGGACGTATTAGAATATTCACTTGTGAGTTGTCACGCATCCTTTATATAAGGAAAAATAAACCTAATTTATACGTCTAATGTGCTATTCCTCCTTCCACCAATTAGTTTTGGGATGAAACTTCACATGAGTTTTATCTGAGTTTTCTCTACTTATGGTGCGCTTCTCGTGTACACGAGACTTCCTCTTTAATAACATAAACTTGAATCTCTTGTTGTGGGATGCACAACTAGCCCATAATACCAAAATATTTATGTTTGAAGGTGATACTCTCATTTTTTAAACAAACAAATTCAAAATTGCATAAAAAGATTATTGGAAAAAACTTACTCACAAATACACCTAAAAACATTGATAAAATAAACAAATCATACGGCAAAAAATTGAATCCATGCAGAAAACACGTCTTTTTTCAAAATCATAAATAATTTTGATCAAACCAAGTTTTCGACCAACCAACTAAAGCTCTAATTTGTAAACTATTTAAAATATTAATAGAATCCTTTACATATGGAACCGAATTTCCAGTAAATTTTGCATAGAAAATCTGTACCATAAATAATTTGAAATGTCGTAAAAGAGTGTACGTAATTTGTACTATAAATAATTTAAAATCAACAAATCAGATATATTAAACACGTGAAGATCAAAAGTTGCTGAAAATTCGAATTTAAATCGGATTACCAAAAGAAACAAGTCAAAGACTTTGACCCATTTTTTTTAACAACTTTCAAAAATAATTTTTCTATTAACCTTTTTCAATATATATAAACATAGATTTCCAACCTCATATATTCACATATAAATATCAAAAGTAATTTTGGGTGTGTAAATTAGCCAAACAATATTCCAACATTTGTTACGAGAAGAAGTTTTTTAAAGATTTTAACCTGTATAATAATAAATTATATCATACAGAATTATACAATTCACAAATTCATGTAATAATAGCTATGAAAATATAAACGATGCATTTACATAGATAATTTTTTCATTTAGAAACTATTATATAT